AAGGCACCAGAAAAAGAGAGTTCAAATTCCCTTCAGACTGTTCTGAATCATCAAGAAAAGCAGCCTCAGAACCCCCCTGAAGAAACGCCCCTGACAGAATATATGTTTCCATCACACTACGAATTAGATCATGTACAGCCTCAATGGAGAGTGACCCCTCCAACCGTTGAGAGATGCTGGATAACAGAGGGGGAATAGAGGAGGGCTGATTAGCCTTCATACTGGAAACAGTAACCCGTGAATTCATGTATGTCGCATGTCTTTTTTAAATTATTAAATATAATTTACATCAAAAGCTACTATGCAAAGTGATAAAATAATTTGAATGAAATGCTTATATACGATATAAAGATAGAGGGTGCATTGTCGTATGTGGAGAGTACATAATCATGCTTAGATGGGCAAAGATTGAAACCCTGGAGGTCGAGTAATAGCTATAAGTGTCAGCAGATGGTAAGTATGTTTTGGAATTAGATCCATCCACATGAGCTCACAAAAACTGATTGAACACGGGTATATCCATGGGAGTGAGAAATATACACTGAAAACTTATGACAATCTTCTGGGAAAAAGAACAATACCTAACTCAGCAGATTACAAGGAGGTATGGTAGCAGATGGAAAGTGGCATAGAAAGAAACTTTCCACACAATAGTACTATCCCTCTGCACAAAAATAGTAACTTGAAAGGAAAAAATCGCAGGCCGAACACAAGACACAAACTCCCTGCGAACTAAAGTCTGTGCCTCACCAGCAAACATCATCGACCCTAAAATTTAGTGACTAATGTTAGAACCATTGTCTCCTTATGGCAGGAAAATTATCCTCCACCATATTAAATCTCGAATTCATATGAACAAAGTATAATTCGGGAAACAAAAACATTTTAAAAACATGGTAATTAAACAAGAAGTCAAAACTTGAAGTTGAAACTGATATCAATTGGTGATCAATCACAATCAAAATTGTGCATTCACATGGAGAAGGAATTAAAACACACATGTATACACTAGAATGCCAATCAAGAAAGTGAGGAGCCCATGTTCCCAAATAAGATAGAATCTCTCACATAGTGGGAAAAGGAGAGGAGGATAGGTTAAGAACTAGTAACTCCGTAGCCTGCAAATGAAGGAGAAAAGATTGAGCTCAACTGAGGAGGGAATTGAATAATATCTAAAGATAAATGAGGTATTGTGTGGGGGTGAGGAAAGACTTCTCCACCCCACCAACCTGAGCAGCTTCTTGTAGGAGAACCTGAGTATGAAGGGCAGAGGCAGCCTGCAAGGTAGCTAGAGACAACCAGTCGTCAATGTAATGGTGGAAATAAAAGACCCAGGAATGAGGATGATGGGCAAACACATTGACCACCTAATAGAAACATAGAGAACTGAGGCAAGCCCGAATGGAAGAACCTGGAACTGCAATACACAATACTGATGGACAAAATGAAGGTAATGTCAGGATGCAGGGGAGATGAGAAAGTGAAGGTACACATCCAAAACATCTATCATTATCTTTCATAGACCAGGAGTTACAACCCATCGAAGGGACAAATAGAACTCCATTTTGAAAGAAGCAGTTCAGAGCCAAAACATTAATGTCAGGGCGTCAGACCGTGGTCTTCTTGGGGATGATGAACATATGGGAAGAAAAACTTAGAGGAAAGGAATCCCCCATTCGATGGCACCCTTGAAAATCAGGTCCTGTACCACCACTGAAAGAATCTGGCTGGAACCTGGATCTTGAGGAGGAGGAAAGGAAATGGGGTGTTGGGACAATGGAGGAAGAGAATCGAACCAGGAGACCAAGCCTAGTGGCAAATGACAATTTATGCCTATAGAGAGCAGTATAAGTCGAGTAAAGCTATTTGTGAGAGTAAGTAAGATATCATGTCAGATTTAATATTTAATATTTTGTTTGGAAATTTAAGAAATGAAAATTTATCTATCATTCAAATTTGAATTATGAAATATGTTTTGGTGCCAATTTTATTGATATCGATTGATAATAAAGTTGTTTAATTAATTTTTGAACTTAACTCTGTAAAAAGATTGTGACATGCACAACTTGGCCACCTGTGCTTGGAGAGATAATTTTGTGATCAACAAACTGTCCTAAGAACAAATTGAGAAGTAATTATACAAAGTAGCACATACACTGTGCCTTAAGATACCAACCAACAGCTGAGAAAGTAAGGGTTGCAACACCCGTTTGATTGTGTTTTTTAACTCCTAGATATCATTTTCAGTTGCACATCTACTAGCACCAGCCATCATAGCTGTATAGTGATCAAGTGGAAATCACACAATGTAGTGCATACGTTGTATGGTGAATATCACTTGATAGCTTGGAAAGCAAGGATTGCCACTTCTTTTCAATCATTGGATGCTTGACCTATTGATCCTAGAAGCATATGATTGGGTTTAATCACTGACATATAGACAAGGAGGTCATTATCTGTAGCTTGGATGACTGTAGGAGTTATCTCTTGCCTCTAAATAAAGCACTTCCTTGTATCGATTGCTGTGAATAGGCAGAAAAGTACTCTGAACTCTTTCCTCCTTTTCTAAATGCTTCATCAAGTCAGATTCAGCATTAGACATTGCACTACCTGTCCCTGTACTTGTTCAATCCAGACAAAGACCTGTCTCAAATAATGAAAGAAGTGGTACTGACCTTCCTTGTCTGTACCCTTAACACTGAGGGAGGAATGTGCTTATCTTCACTCACAGGGTCCTGTGAGGACATTACAAGCCTTTCTCTTGCAGATTCCCAGCCAACACCAGGCTACGACATCCTAAGCATATGAGATACAGTGTGGTAGGGGCTCTTAGGGACCCTGATACTCTGGCAAGTAGTGATCTAGTTGATGAAGTGCTCTACACAGCTCATTTGTGTGTTCTGCTCAACCCCAAAATTCTTCCGTGAGTCATGTTCATATTAGTAGTAAACCGCCCAGCTCGGAGAGGCTCACCATTAACCCATGACCAACTCACTTTATCATTTAGTGTATGCCATCTTAACTGCTGGTAAGATGACTCTGGTTGGTAGAAAGCTTAATCTCTCACTTCATTCTCAGATGGCTTTGATCAAAACTGGAGATGAGATATTCTGGCTGCCTTAAGATAGGGAGTCCATTATAGACCACTCTACTTAGTTTCAGACACTCTATACACCAAAACCCATGACAATCTTCAGTTTATGCTTTCCTTACACTGAGATTGATCCTCCGGGGTAGAACTTGATCAGTCATTCGGAGTACATCAAAGTTTGACAGTTTGCCTTCCCAAGTATATAGTAGCAATGAGAAAAAAGTTGTGGTCCTTCAGATCATCAGTAAACGTCCAATGTCCAGCAGAAAACTTCTCCTAGACCAGGTCTTGGACACACCAAATGCCAATCTACCAGGAAAATTCTCAGTTCGTGCTTCACTCACACCAAAATCAATCATCTGGGGGAGGGCTTGAACAGCCATTCTCACAGTTCTTTACCCCAACTCTGTGATAGCAACAAAAGAGAAGTCATGGACCTTTGTAGCATGGGCAAAATTCCAACATCCAGGAGAGGACTATTACTAGACTGGAAATTCTCTTGGACATCCATCTCCCATCAGTGAACAACTCAAAATTTAGGTAAAAGGTCCTTCTAGTTGTAGAAAATGCTATATCTTAACTATGATTTTTTTAAAAACATAAATCATACAAGAGTAGGAGTAAAAGGTGGTACACGCTTCAACAGCTAATATGAAGCTCAGCCATACTGATATCCTGTGGTCTCAACACCAGAATTTCTCCTTCTATCCACTCTGCAGTGCATCCAGGTGAAATTGAATTAACTTTTGAGCTACATCAGACAGGTCCTCTAAACTTGACATTCAGTGAAGATATTGATTACTTATAATATTAAAACTCTTACTTGACTGAACAGATGTTAAACACAATAATGAAAATGGACACAAGTGTAAAACAAGATGAACAATCTTTATTAAATGTGAAACACAAGCATAGTGTGTGTATTTGCAGTTTAATTACTTCTGAATGTCACTTTTATTGGATGTTTTCAGGCTAAGACTGCCTAATCCAAGGTTTTTAGCTACCAAAAATCTTGCATTTATTCAGCATGAAATGCGCTATCATGTAACTGGTCATTCTCATTACACATAGTTAGGATCCTAATCTCTAGATATCACCTGTACATCATTTAAGGACATTGCTGTTGACATCATTTCATAAAATTGCTTTAAGAAATATTCTCCATGGGTGGTAACAGATATTACCAGTTTCAAGAATAACAAAGGTAACTTGAAACTAAATAAACTTAAGGGTTTTCTTGACCACGTGTTATGTGAAAATGTTGCACATATTCAGAACAAATAATGAATTTAGAATAAATATTATAATGCTACAAGAATTATGTTAACCCCAATACATTATCTTACAATTACTATGATTAAAATTTAAGGGTCCTTTGACAAACATATGTCCAACTAGCCATTTGATCTCCAAGTCATTCTTCAGTTTCTCAACTTTTTCATCAAGTTAGAAATAACCATGAATTTAATGCAATCCATCTTACTAGTTTACTATTATGCCCTTAGCTATTAATATAAGTTAGAAAAAAACAAAGACTCAAGCACTGATCATTGAGACACTCCACTAGTAAGTGAGGTCCAGTATTTACCACACACCATAAGTAACAACTTTTCTACAATCCAATTTACTACTCTTTCCCCAACCTCCATCAATATATTTCCTTAATTTTGTACCTTTTCCATCATATGGATAACACATAATATACTTGAAAAATATTAATAGATTAGTTAGGAAAGATTTGGCTTCAATACCAATTCATGTACATTATACTTTATTTTGAAAAGAAAATGTGTTTGTTGAAATATTAAAACCAAAATTAATAATTTCAATCAACCCTTACACTTTTGTCTTTATTGTATCATTCACAAAGTATTAAAAACTAATTTATGAATATCATATAAAAACCTACTTCTGCAGGTAATTTTTTCAGTTGGTTCAGAACTGACCAACACTTCTGAACAGCCAGACCTACACTTGTGGAAAATAACTTGTTAGCTTTCCTGTTATGGGTCTGTTTTCTGTTTAAGAAACATTCAACAAACAAGGATGTTGCCTGAATGAAAAATATCATCCTGAAAAAAAAAGGAGTTTCAGTGAAATAATTCTTACTTTAATTGTATGCATAAGAGCTAGTTCAAAAAACATTAAAATAATTATTTAATACATTTAGACCATGTTTTTAAGTTATTAAAAATTTTTTAAAATATATCTTCAGAAACCACTTGAAAAGGAAAAAATCACGAGCCACCTTACATTTCATAATTTCCCAGTTTCTTTTAACCCTATAGCTATGGGTCAAAGGCAATGTCATCGTGTTTGTTGACTTGTATTCAAAATTTTATTGAACTACTATTTTACGAATTTATGTCAATAAGTTTTGTATCAAACTGTAGATTATAATTCAAATTTTAGTATTATACATTTTTCAATTTCTTAGTTTAAAAGTAAATATTAAAAAATACTTGATTTTTTGTGTGTCACATGGCATGGTGAATGCAACACTGGTTCAAATTAGATGTTTGTGATGTCAAAATACAAAGTCTATAGTTTTGTACAAATTAAGAGCTCAAATTACTGATATTAACAAGCTAGAATATAAAATAAGAACCTCCTATCTTTTCTATTTGCTGTGTCCCTGCTCACCACTTTCCATTTTAGGAAATAGTCCCTTATATACAATTACTTGTGTATATGACATGTGAATAACCAATTGAAAGCTCAGAATGTCCTCCTAGTGGCTTTCTCAGCCATTTACATGTGTTAGGATGCCAATCTCATTATTTCAAAACAAGATTTGAAGGAGGTAGGTTGTGTCTTCAGTCTGCTTGAAATTTCACATTTGTTTAGTTACTACACTTTATAAATTATAACGGAATTGTATGATATCGATATAGTAATTTATAATTTTTTGGTTATTCAACTGTATATATATAAAACCTAAAAAAAATTATTTCATTTCACATCCTCCTTGTGTGAAATTTCTTACAGCTCAGCAAGCTACGAGAAGCAGCAACTGAGTACAAATGTTGTAACAAGAAGAGGTAAATGTTTGCTTTACATCTTCATTTTCAGTTCAATGTTTTAATAAAAATAAGTTTAAGAACTTGTTTGTAAATAGTAAATAATCTATATACATATATAATGTAAAATAATTGAAATGTGACTGTATTTAACAAAATACTAGTCCACTAAAACACAGTCAAGACAAGTCACTTTGTAAAGGCTAAAGATTAGTTTTATATTATTGGATATGGTAACATAACTGCATGTGCACCACATCACTGTAACTTTTGTATTGTTAGCCAGGTACGACTGGAAGGTCAATATAAGAATAATAATAAATATATATAAATCTATAATGTTATGAGGTTTAAGATACTTAGACTAAACATTTGTGTTTTTTAAAAGTGAAATTGTTAATTTTATTGAAAATACTTAGAAAAGAAAAGTATATCAGAAAGTGTTAACAGTGATTACCTGTCAAGAAGAAGTTCTTGCAATGATATATGTGCTACTTGTGATTCCTCTGCATCTTCTGAGAATGTATATTTGTTTAGTAATTCATTAATGGATACATCACTGGCTTTTGTGCCAGGAAACTTCCAAGAGTTGAAAGGTATGAGCCCTGTGTGAGATAATACTTCAGACAATACAGATTCAACATCAGCAACATCTGACTGAAGACTTTCAATACAAGTCTGACTACCCAATAGGTATGCCATCAACTGCAATAACAATCTTCACAATAACTAGTGCTGGATATGAGTTTTAAAAACCTGTAATGAAAGAAATCTGACATTTACATTTTAAATACACTATACATAGTTTGTAAGGTGTGACAGGTACAAGAAATGGGTTTTATTTGGGAACTCGAGACTGGTATACACATTTAGCATTGTAAATCCACAGACATACCACCGTGCCACTGAGGGCAAAAAGGAGGAAGGACCCCTGAAAGCTTCTGAAGGATACCTCTGAGCCTGAGAGACAGAGATCCAAAGTTCAGAAGAGGGGAACCGCACTACATCTGAGCCAGGTATACTCTTTGCCCTTTGTGGAGTGTGACATGTACATGGGTGGAAATGTAAGGTGTAGAGAGGCTATGGTGCATCGAACCATACACAGTAAGACAACTACATTCAAAAATTCCCTATGGGGCATTGACATCCACATGGGGGTAGGATGAGGATCACATTGTCTTCACTTCAATCCCAAAAATTGCGAGTTTAAGACCCACACCGATATCTGGGTATGCCACAGTGACAGAATGTCCATCAAATTGAATCTCCATCAAGTCTCCCAACCATAGCACAGTCCAGTACCATCTAAAAACAATAACATCCCTGTAAGAAGAACAAGGGATAATCCAAGAGAGCACTGGAACCAGCCCACTAACTACACAGTGACAAAAGACACAGACAGAGCAACTGAGGGAAAAAGAGAGACAACCTCCCTCTGTGGAGGACTATTGTTGATTGGTTCATTCTAATTCAAAACCTTGAAACTGGGAACTGACATCCTCGTGAAGGTAGGATGAGGGCACCCAATTGAAGAGTGAACTGCAATTGCAACAGCTCAACTCCAATGTGAAAGTAAAGTGGATCAGGAGGCCACGTCATTCCATAAGGGGATGGCTAGACTCCAGCTGATGTGTAAAAGGAAGCAGGAGACAACATCATCTCACAACGTGATGGCTCGACTCCCCTGGTTTTGTAAATAGTAGCAGGAGGCCACATCAACCTAGAAGGTGATGGCTCATCTCCATAAGTTGTGTAAATGTGAGTAGGAGGCTACATCAACCAGAAGATGATGGCTCAACTCCATTGGTTGTGTAAATGGTAGTGGGAGGCCAAGTCATCCCAGAAGAAGATGGCTCAACTACAGTGTTGATGTGTAACATGATCAGGAGGCCTCGTCAACCAGCAAGGCAATGTCTTAACTCCTCTGGAGGCCACATTGCATCTACACCACCACCCTAATCTGAACTGAATGGTCTGGGAAACTCATTCAAGAGGGTGCTTCCATGGACCACCACCCCATTGGCTTGGAAATGAAAAGTGGTAAGGACTCCCAAACTGCACTAGAAGGGGGAAATGTGGTGGATAGTCTGGAGGACAGTTCAATGGGTGACAACAAAACCCTATTTTAAAAAACAGACCATACCTGGTTATTCATGCAAGGCATGGCAGGGATGGGCAGCAGTCTCCTTCTGCTTTACCCATGTAGTCCATGGGTGGTATGGTCCAGGACATTATGTGGAACACCCCATCTCAACAGTGATTGTACATAGCCATGGAATAGAAAATACTAGCCAACATGGTGGACAAGGTGGATTTAGAGTTAAAGAATACCTGGACAGGCACCATTTGCCACAAAGTGGGATCCATAATAAAAAAGGAGAGAAAAAGCCCCTGAAAAAAATGAAGAAAACTTACAAATCAAAGTCACACCAAAGTCTGGAGAATGGCCATGGGTGGTGGATGAAACCCCAACACAGAGAAAAGCATCATACAATGAAGATAGTGGGAGATGAATGTACTGGGAATGGTTCATATGCTGGATTGGAGAATCTCCTTTATTGGATGACAAAGACGAGAAGCAAGAGATATATGATTTAATGGGAGGAATGTGGAACAAGGTACGAGTGGAAGAAGGCAGGGAAGAGTATGCAAAATTAACCAAAAGGTGGACACAATTTGTAAGGGTAGAAGGGGAAAGATCACGAAGGGAGGAAGATTGCCATGGGATAAACAGACAGTTGTGTGTGTACCCTGAAGAGATGCAGTGCATGCAATATAACAACAAAGGGCCCTGACCTGAAACAGAAGTCTATCTGGATCCAGTCAAGGATAAATATGGGATATAGAAGGCAGGGAAATGGGAGAAAAGGATGAAAAACTCTCCAGAGCTGCCATGGGTTTAGGGAGAAAGGAATAATCGAGATAAAGGAGAAGATAGGTAGGGTGATAAAAGGTATGAAATATGTCTACGGCAAACAGAACCGACTGTCGAGGGCCACAGGCCAACAGACAGTCATAAGGAACCAGATAACAAGGAGGCAACTCGACACGTAAAACTGGATTCTTTTGTCAAGGACTAGACAAAAGCCAGGTGTGAAGTCAGAGGACAGGGAAATTGGGATGTAGGAAGTTTTATCATGGTTGATGAAGAGGGGAGGGAGAAAGTGGAAGAGAAACTGGTGGTATCAAGAGCAGATGCTGTAACCTGGGAAACCAAGGTTGTGCTGGCCAAAAGGGTGCTATCAGGAGGACTTGGTAAGGAGTGGAATGGACCAGAGAAATCACCCAATGCAGCAACCGGATTGGAGGGTACACATACGGGTATTTGTGTGACCAATCCTGGCTGAAAGCATTGACCACCAAGGCCTGGGGATGCAGTACAGGTGACTACCTCTATTCAATTCTACCAAACTATCACTTCTTGTTTAGCAGTGCTATCATCAAGATGTTCCATCTATTTCTATCAGAAATATATTTTCAGTATAGGCAATTATAACTTCCGATATGGTACACTCACATAAATAGTTAGAATCCCACACTGAAGTAATGGAGGGAATGTTGCAAGGGAAACAAAGAAGCATTCCTCAAAAGCATCTGAAGAACATCCTAAAAGAGTATATCGTCACATTAGAGGATCATATATGGGACACCACACCATATGTGTACCAGGTACACTCTTTGCCCAGTGTGGAATGAAACTTTGCAGACCTGGGCAGAAAAAAAGGAAGGAGCATATCCCTATGGAAGGGCACAATGGTGAGTTTGGTTTGTTTGTTTTTGAATTTTGCACAAAGCTACATGAAGGCTATCTGTGCTAGCCATCCCTAATTTAACAGTGTAAGACTAGAGGGAAAACAGAAAGTCAACACTGTTGGCTACTCAGCTACTCTTTTACCAATGAATAGTGGTATTGACCATCACATTATAATGCCCCATGGCTGAAAGAGCAAACATGTTTGGTGGAATGGGGATTCAAACCCACGACCCTCAGATTGCGAGTCAAGTGCCCTAACAACATGGCCATGATGGGCCACACCATGGTGGGATAAGGATCAGAACCACCATACAACAAATCTCAATCCCATAATATACTCGAATGTGGGTGAAAGTAAAAGGATGTGCCCCTAGATGTAGAGTGACTAGGGCACGACAGACTGTACATGCCAATCCAACTGTATCCAAAACCCAGCCTGCTGGGAACCGACATACACACGGGGGTAGGAGGAGGATTATACCATTGATAAGTCAACTACAATTCAAAACTCAGTCACCAGGAACTGAAATCCATGTGGGGTAAAAAATAGGATCATACTGTCTTCACCTCAAGTTGAGCAGACTGGAGGAAATATCATACCCCCAATCTGTGAATGGCACACATGATAGCAATGTGATAAATTATTGGACCAATCCAGGATTGCAACATTCAGATGATCGGTATAGCAAAGATGTCTCTGTAATGTAAATTATCTCATTCAAAACCAATCTGACAGGAACCGCACCCAGTGCAATAACATCCTCAGTATAAAAAAATCGAGAGATAGTGTAAGAGGAAGAACCATATTAATCTGCAAGTTCCACCACCATTACCCACAACATGGGTGAATAGAACAAGAGTAAAATTTAGTGAGGAAACAGAGACACAAAAAATACATGTGTGAGGTCTTATGTTAATTGGTTTAGTTCTGAATCGAAAACCTAGCCACTTGGAACAAGGATCCATGTGGGGGTAGGATAAGGAATTTTAAACTGCAATTTTGCCTGCTCACTCCAAAGCTACGACATTCCCTCGGATAAACTCCTACAGAGATGGAGCATCAGATTGGAGGACATCTCGTCATCTACACCAGCAGAACACCGCTGTCTACTCTCAACTGAATGGTTTTATCATTATTTGTATCGTAAATATCACTACTGCATTCAGGCAGATGACTCCATGGCCCACCACCTCATTTGCTTAGAACTGGAAAGTGGTAAGGACTCCTATACTCTACTGGAAGAAAAAAGGGCGGGGGAGAAAATGCAGTGGAGCGTCTGGAGTAACATCAACACCAAAGACAGCGCAATGGATGATCACAAAAACCCAATGTTGAAAAGCAGATTACACCTCATTTATTCAATGTAAGGAATAGCAGTGATGGTAACTATCCCTTTGTGCTTTACCTATGAAGTACATAGGTGAGTACAGTCCAGAACAGGCATATTAATGAAGCAAATATATCGTGAGGAAAAACCTACGTGCAATCTTTTGGAACACCCCATCTAAACAGTGAGTGTTTTATAGGCATGGAAATTAGAAATATGTAGTCAACATTTGACTATGAGAAGCATACTTGATCAGGCACCACTCACCACAGAGTTGGATCCAGGCAGTAAAAAATAAAAGGGAAAAACCCTGAGAAAGAAGATAAATAAATAAATATATATATATAATAACTTACCCAGTCACAGTCTGAGAGAAGTCTGAAGAATGGCTACAGGAAGAAGACAATAAACCACAGATGAAGACACAGCAATCTGATGCAGATAGCAAGATATGAACGTATGTGTGGTAGTCCACATGCTAGGTTGAAGAATTTCCTCCAAGGGATGACGGAGATTAAACACCAGGGAAAATGTAAGGTGCCTGATCTAATGAGAAGACACCTGGAACAAATTATGGGAAGAAGAAGATAAGGAGGAATAAGCCAATTGAATTAAAAGCCAAACCTAGTTGGTCAGGCTGGAAGGAGAAAGGTCAGAAGATGTCTGCCAAGGAATAAATAGGCAGGAATGGGCACCATAGAAGGAAGCCATGCAGGCAACATAACAATGAAGAGCACAAATGAGACATAGTAGCTTATCCAGATCAAACTGAGGATAAAGGTGGGAAATGTAAGGAAATGAAATTGGTGAGAAGGAGAAACTATCCTCCCGAGCCTCCGAAGATTTGGGAAGGACAGATTGTTCCATATAAAGGAGAATATATCTGGAATTATATAGAGTATGTGAAACATTTATGGCAAATAAATCCAACCAATGACGTTCACAGGCTAATAGGAGAAGGATATAAGCCGTAAGGAATAAGTGAAAAATCGAGCACAAGGATAGAAGTTGAAATGAAGGCAAAGTGAGGCAGTGAAGAACCACATTCACATTCCAATCTGAAAGAACATGCCAAGGTGAATAATTAATTTGGAAAGAACACAATAATAGGGAAATGTTAGGTGAAGTAAAAACTTTATGATACCTAGAAAAATGAAAAGTGTGAGATAAGGCAGCCCGATAACTCACGATCAAGGAGACAGAAGACCCTGATCAAACAGCCAAGTGATGAAATCTGTAATATAAGGAATAGTGGGTCGAGTGGGGGAAAACCCTTAACCCAAAGAACAATGGTAGAAAACGTTCCATTTACGTTAATAAGCATCCCTAGAGGAAGGACAAATGGAACAAGCTAAAAAAAGAAGCAACCCACCAGAATAAATCAGATCTCCTCGCCAGGGACCAGATAAAAAACAAGTGTGAAGATGAAGAATATGAAAAACTGGATGAAACACTGATGACCAAGGTCAATGTAGAATGGATGAAGTAAGAGGAAGAGGTAATGGAGGAGCAGATTGGAGAAGATTAACCAACCCACACGAGCTGCCTCCAGGAGCAGCAGATGAGTGTGATGAGCAGACTCTTGTTCAGAAAAAGCTAACAGAAGCCAATCCTCCATGTAATGATGGAAGCAGAACCTCCAAGCATGCAAATGCTGGACAAAAGCCTTGATCATCAAACAAAAAACATACGGGACTGAAGGAAAAAGCCCAAAAGGCAGGGTACAAAATTGATAAACTACCCTGTGATGAACAAATCGAAGATGGCACCTTGACTAACAAGATAGTGGGACATGCAGGTAAGCATTTGGATAGAATCAAAAACTGATTGAGGCAGGACAAATAAATCACAGACTGCCAGTGCCCATTTTTTTTTTGGCTACCACAAACAGCCTGGAATAAAAACCTGGAGAAAGATGATTGACAGATTAAATGCCTGTTGGAAGAGAAGATTTTGTACAGCCTCTGACAGATGTTGATTGGTGGTTGGATTCCAAGGCAATGGAAAGGAAACGGGTATCTGAGACAACAGAGGAAGGGGAAAAAATGGATTACAAGACCCTCAGATAATACTCAAATAACCCACAGATCTGTCGTGAAAACAAAATCAATCAAGTGAGTCTCCACTGGACCAGAACCCACCAGGTAGTCACTGGTACTGTTGGTGACATGTCCATCTGCGTCAAATAAAATGACGAGATGAGGAACCCCTGGAGGTTGGAACAGGTAAGGGCTGGGAAGGAGCTGGACAGGAAACAGTAATAAGGGAACGTCTAGAATCTGAATGAGACCAACGATCTACCAAAGAAGAAAGGGTAGTTTGTTGTTGCATCGACTCCACAAAGGATTTGAAAGTCTCAAGAATATTATTAAAAACATACTGCTGTAGAAAAGGGGCCATACACAAGTCCTGGAGATAAGTAAGCAGTAAATGAAGTTGAGACAAAGCATCTTCTCTCCCCAGGAGATCCCAACAACAGAGAAAATGTGTGTTTAAGGATAGAGCCAAAGAAGACAAACATGCCAATGTAGAGGGAATCAGGGAGAGGCTATCCCTTGAAAAACCTACAGGATCTCTGTGATTGCCTCAGCAAGGAGGTGGATGGTATACAAGCACTGTAGAAGAATCAATAGGGTAAGACAAATGTGGAAAAATTGGGTATGGGATAAAAGAAAAAGATGATAATGGTCTACCCTCACCCCCACATTGGCAAAATCGATTCTAACTGTTGAGAATTGAGAAATGTACATTCAGCCTGATAGTAGGCCAAGGCAATTTGATCGAAATCCTGTGGAGGGCGAGGCATGCTGGCACTATCAACCATCTCAGAAAGAAAATGCTCCACATGAATCCTAATATCTGGGGAAGGGGGGGGGGTAAACCAAATACTCAGTAGAGGAAGTATCATGTAACAAAGGATGGGATCATATGAAACAGGGAAATGAAAAAAAAAACAATACATAACTGAGAAATTATATCTAAAAAGGCCGTATTAGGACTAGCTGATTCTGCAGTAGGGGCATAGGAAGATACGGCAAAATCAGGTGGAGGAAAACACTGTCAAAACCCTTGTTAACCCAAACAGGTTTGGCATGTACAAGAGGAATATGAACGAGATCAGGAGAAGCAGGTTGACTCACATAAAGATCAATCTCATAGCAGATGACAGCCAATAAGTCTAAAGACGAATAACCCTCACCTGTAGCCTGTGTGAGTGTGTTAGTAGAAGGTATCATCTTCAAAGTGGTAACCTGAGCTTCAGAATTGAAAATCAGAAATGAAAATCAAACACAATCGTTTAATGAGGGGAGAAAAATAAAAACTGGGAAAATAAGTTATCTAAAAGTCATTAATTGTTGAAAAACAAACAAAAAAATCCCGAAATTAAACAAAAAACGCAGAAGTTTGTCGCATGATGATTTACATGTGAGATGTATTTGAACCAGTTGATTGTAAGGTACATGGGAGCTCAAGGCTTGTGGTGTGTGAAAAATAATTTTGTTTATAGAGGGCAGCACTGAATGAGAATAGCTATTTAGTGAGAAGAGGTAATGTACCATATCCGAAAGTTGAAAAAATTACAAAATAGTAATATGACTAGCAGAAGTGGGTTTAATTATAATGAGCAAGTTATAATAAATAACTTATTTCAGCCTTTAACTTGCACATATGAGAAACTAGGGGAGGGAGGGATAACAAAAGGGACTGATAGGGATTGGAATGAAAAACTAAAGAAGGTTTTTGTTATAGGTGATTCTTTAGTATGCCATACACATGGATAGAATAGTCTGGGGGCAAATAGAAAGAATCAGGTCATGCTTTGCAGGGGCAGGGGTGCAATGTATAACTGACAAAGCAAGTGATATAGTTAAGGGTGCTAGCTGTGATGCAGTTTTTGTAGTGCACATAGGGTCTAATGATGAATGGAAGGGCAAGTCAGATGAGCTAATTTTTAAGCACTAGGCATTAATAAAGTCATTCAAAGAAAAGGAGCATAATAATTCCAATTTCCAAAAACCTATCCCTCTCACTGTCAGACTCGAAATTTTCCCAATCAATACTCCTGATATTAAAATCTCCCATACTAACAACATCTTTTTCAGTTACCATTCTAATCTCATTATACAGTTTCTCATTAACTTCCACATTCTGACTGGTGGTTTATAACAAATCCTAATTACAAGACTTTTCCCTTTATATCCACTAACACTAACCCAAACTGACTCAACCTCTGTGTTTGTTTCTTTAATATGCTCTAACTCAACAGAATGAAATTCACTCATCACATATAAAGATACTCTTCCCCCTTTTTTCAACACAACTCTAGTAAATAATCTGTTGTGTGGTATTTCCAAAAAATTTATTTCATCAAAATTGTTCCAATCCAACCAAGTCTCAGTGATACCCATAATATCAAAATACTCAGTTTACACAACTGCTTTGAAATCATCAGTTTAATTTCTAATACTTCTAGCATAACATTAATAACAATTAATCATAGATCTAAAATTACATTTATGTTTTATGCCTGTTGTACATGTTTTCCTGTCAATTATATTTTCTATTTTACTAATATCATAGCCCTCACCTCTGTCTAGCCCTAGTTTTAATATATATTGTACAAGTGTTGATAGTGTTGATGCATCAAATTTTTTCCTATTTAATGAATAAAATGGTAAGACTAGGGGACAAACAATTTTGGTATGAGTCAAATTGCTGAGACAGCTTTATTTTTCTAACAGGGTGGTTGGGCTTTGGAATGGGTTACTTTCAGATGTGGGAGATGCAGTTAATTTAAGGGAGTTTCTGGGAAAGCTTGATAAATATTTGAATGATAAGGGCTAGCTTTCAGTGTATTACCTTTGTTCTAGACTTTAGTATAGTGGTTGGGACAGCCTAGATGGACCAACAGGCCCTTGTTGTCCTTAAGTTATATATATATATATATATATATATGTATTAATAATAAATAGGTAAAATACACCAGCTCTTTTGTGGAGATAAGTACAAGTAGAAAATATATGCCAAAAGTATGGCCTGATTTTTGTTGCATTTTCATGACATGTCTCTTTTATCAGCATAACTTATTCATGAGATAAGGAGGGTTCAGAAATGAAGCACTTCCCATTATGCTCCATACATGATTATTTTGACCAGAAAATTACTATTGAGCATTCTGTAGTTACTCAATCCATAATTCATGGAAAATAAAAAAAAACTTTCTTTGCTAACTTGATAAAAGACAAGTTGGACATCAATTATAACTTATAGGATTCATGAGCAATATATTTGAATTTGATCCATTGATATTTTCATTCCATTGTTACTCCTGATGACAAGAGCAAATAACCTCAATAAATATAAAGTAGACCTATATTCCCTTCACTTCTGAAACTGTGGTTCCAATCGAAATTTAACACATTAGTAAGTTCAGTATCTAACAACTGATTCTCAACATCTTAAGTCTATCTACAAATGCATTAAACAAAGAACAGTAATTTGACAAAAATATTTTCTCTCACAAGTTTGAAGCTGCCACATTGAATTTGAAAGAAGACGAAAGACTGTAGCTGGTAATACAGCATGCTCAGATAATATTGTAGCAAGCAAAAGCTGCTACGAATTTGAATCCGCCCGCTGAGTATCACTATCGCATAGCTCAAAATGTGTCAAATCATGCTAACAACGTTACAGAATTAGAACTTAACGGTTAAGAAAGCTGTACTTTGGTTTGATAGTGATACGCATATAAACCTTGTTGAAATTGGATAAAAATGCTACACAAAGCCCAAACTTAACTCCAAAAAATTATGCTTATATGAGAAGACTGACACACGTGTATATACCGCAACTTTTTGGTTAGAACAGTTCTTGTTATTGCACGGTAACTCTGAATCTAAACAGTTCTTATTAAGGGGTTGTCTTGGTTACTGAGTGACGAATAATTATCTTGTCTGGCGTACTTTGTAATTTAAAATTTTGATTTAATGAAGATTTGACACAATTATAACATATCAGCATAAAATAAACTACATTTTTAATTTTTATTCCGAAACATATATTCACAATTACCTAACATAAATATTACACATTCTCTCTTATAAAAGACAGAATTATTATAGCTAGACTCATACTGAATCATAGAGTCGATCATCCACTTTGATAATTTTACAAATACTTTACTTGTCTTTCAATGACAAAAAAGGGCGTAATAGATTTCATATATTTAAATAGGGCTTTAATAAAATGTCAAATTACAAAAAAAAAGCTCTGAAAACTTCTCACATGTTTTGTAATAAATCGTTAGATTTTGAAAATCATGCGTGATACCAATAGTGAACAAAACAAACATGAAATTTCTTACAGACAATCTCTCCATCTTCGTTACAACTCTGAATTTGGTATATCTTTCCATTTTACATTTAGTTATATAAATATTCAAGACCGTAATTTTATAAAATAATTAACTTATTAAACTTTCTGGTCATTTACTTTAAATAAACAATTTTATGCTATATGCATATGAAAACTCAAAAACAAATTTCTATAAATTTGTTAAATTAAAATTTCGTTGTTATAAGTGAAGGTTGTACTTTAAAAATGATAAAAAAATAACAGAATAAAACAATAACATGATGCGCGAAACACTGTAACAATACAACCGTTACTGTTAAAATGTTAAAATATTAAAAAAACAACTTTATAACACATGCGCTTTCTGTTTGTGAATCATCTTTCTTCAGAAAATACCTAATGAATAATACGATAACGAGGAACGTCCATTGAGACTAATAAAGTTTGGAGACGGCTTGAATGGATAACGAAGAAAACTTTGTTACTATGTTAAACTTTTAATCAAGTTTACTTCGTTATCCATTCAAGCTCTCTCCAAACTTTAAGGAATAATCTTATTTACAATATTCAAGTTTATATTTTAGCCACCAGGTGTAAACTGTTATGACGGGGAGATTCGGGTGAAATGGTGTCTATGTGTAGATGAAATTTGAAAAGTTTAGCTTATCGAATTAAGCTTTCTTTATGGATCAAAGGTAAAACATGAAATGTATTTTCTTGTTTTGATGACTAATCACTGTAACTTATATTGTGCAAAGCTTAGTTGACTCTTAGTAATGTAGAACAATAAATTCACCACTTATGTTATTTGAAACTGAAAGTAGTATCGGTAACACTAACAGTAAGTTGGAAGTGTAACTATAACTTATAAGTATTATTACTACTACAAGATAACTTGTAGTTGATGTTGTACTTGTAAGTTATACAACTGTAAGTTGTAACCACAATTTATAATTCTGCGACATTGTTCTTTAGATGGTTGTACCGCTCAGTTTTATTTCTGTAGAGTATAAACTTGTAATACTAAAACCAACGTTATGTGTACGTTGTAAGATAGAAATATGAACTACGTTTGTTAATGCAATGCTAATTAGTTTTATATTTATTAAAAAAGAAGATGGCGACCAATACATTTCGTTAGTTACATGAGAAACCCAATTTTAATTTTCAGTTATTCCTGCTATTATAAATTAGTCATTTTTATTTAAACTCCAAATAAAAGTATCATTCAATATATTTGTCATAATTAAGGATTAAATCATATACAATGACCTATTCCAGCATTTTCGAAATTGAGGCCTGTGAGTCACATCTGAAATGCCATAAAAATATTTTTGAAAATATGATCTATAGAATAAAAATATTTTTTGTAAAATTAAATTTATATGAATTAAAATACTTAATTTTGGAATATAGCTTTTCATGTACACGGAATTTTTTTTAAAGCAAAGTATTAGTAAGTTTTGGGTGTCTGTGAAAAAATTTTAAGATGGGTTCTTAAGCTACTAAAGTTTGAGAATTGGTGTTCTATACTCTAGTTAACATTAAGTTTCATAACTTTAATTTTGTTGCTTGTTTTTTTAACTTGTACATACTTTTAAGTTAAACTAATTTGAAAAACAAGATAGTGACTATATTAGTATACAAGTAACAAAAACATTTAAAAAAAAGGAAGTAAATGTAGGGATGGTTAAAATCAGTCATTCAAAAACAATACAAACAAGATAGTAGGGATGGCACTTGCATCATCCCTATGTAATGTACAGGCACACAGTGTAGTGGAATGTTAACAGACAAAAATAGGATAAATTAAATCAATTGTGAATGATTAATTATATATATATATTGCTATATCTTAATTCTTGCATGTACCTAGTATTTTTGAACATTCTTCTTTGTTATCCATTTAACTTGTCACTAAACTGTATAAGCTTGACTCATCTCAAGTCTTCTTGTTGAGGAAAATTTCTGTAGCTGTTAAACATATGTAATTTAACACATAAGTACTTTGACAGTTCACAAACAAATGGAACTGAAAGGAACATTTACGAAAACTTTATTAAACCCCCAAGGTAAATGAATAATCATAACTAATTTTATTTATTGGGCAAATGAGTACTTAATTAAAGTAAAAACTTTATAAGTTTGATATTCTTCACATAGTCTAAATTTAATAACAAACAGCATAAAAATTAGAATAACATCAGTTTATTTTGTGAAATAAAACTTTTGGTAGCTATAATTTTATCTTACAAAGTTTGAAAACCGTTAGGGAATGAATAAGAATAAAACCATAAAGTTTATTCAGATAATATAGTATTATCATGTTAGCAAATAATCTTTGATTTCTCCACATAAGATGCAGTAATGTTTCAATTTTACAATGTTGGTATGATACCAGTGAACTTTTTAAAAGTTAGCAATGTAACACTATAACCAAAAATTTTCATTATTTTTTATATAAAAGAAGAAACCTACTGTAACTGTACAGTATTTTGGATTGATTAGTGTTGACCATGTGGTCCGAAAGTAAATCAATAACTCAAACCAATTTAAAATCATTGATATGTTCTGTAAATTATTATCTCGGTCAGGTTATAATCCAGCAATTTCAAAGCTTAAATCTTTATTTCTGATACGGTATATTACCTCTTCTCACATAAATAGCTATTCTTGTTCAGTGCTGCCCTCTATATGAAAAATAATTTTATGCATGCCACAAGCTTTTTATCTCCACTCAATTGGAATTGACTGATTCCAATGCTTCTCTCATGCAAATCATCATATGACAACCCTCCATCAATAAAAGTGTGACATAATCTCTTGATGCAGTTGACTCCCTCTGTTCAATTCTTCCGAACTATCACTATCAGACAATTTTTTCTTTTGGTGCTCTTCATGTGAATTGCATTTGTCTTTAATCATTTAACTTCCAAAGTGGGATTTCTTTATTAATTTTTTCTTTACATTGAAAAAGTATTTTAGTTTAACTTCATTTCTCAGTCTTTATTTTTTTTCTTCTCATACTCAGATTTTTTATATCAAACACTTTTGTTTGATATATATTTCTACAATGAATTTTGAGGTTCATGTTAATACTTTGGGTATCATACCTCCTACTAGCACTATGTCACAGGCTGCAGCTGGGGGAGACCTGTTGTTGAACTTATTTGTGATTATCCGTCATGAGATTGATCATTATATGGGTCAACCTCCTCCTGAACTTGCCCCACTTCCTCCCGAGGCAAGCCGAACCTGTTCCGGCCAAAGAAGATTTTGATAGCCTTTTTCCACCATTGGATTTTGACATGTCTTCCTATACCAAACCTGCAGAACCAGCTAGGCTTAATACTGCATTTTTAGACACTATTTCTCAAGTATGTGCCATTTCCCTGATTTCCTGTGATCCCTGGCCTTCATTCTTGCACAATATTTCTTTCTCTCCATGTTTAGTTTTCCCACTCTTCCTGGGTATTAGGGTTCATGCTTCACAATTGGTTGAGGGTGCCAGCATGCCTAGCCCTATACAGGCAATGGATCAGTTTGCATTAGCTTACCATCAGGATGACTGTCCATTTCTTGACTTTCAACAGTTGAGGTTGATTTTACCTGGGGGGGTCCCTGATTTTCCTGTGCATTTAACCCATGCCCAGTTTTCATGCCTTTGTCTTACCCTTACTTCCCTTATATGGTATTTATCAGCTATCCATCTCCTTTCTGAGGCAATCCACCAAGACCCTGAGGGATTTTTGAAGGAAAGCCTCTCGTTTCTTACCTCCACGTTAGCTTGTGTTGTCTTCAGCTCTTATGTTACACACATGGTTCTCTGTTGCTGGGATCTTCTGGGTTGAGATGCAGCCTTGTCCCAGGTTTGTTTGCTGCCCTCTAATCTTAGGGATTTATGTATGGTCTCTTTTCTTTAGCAGTATGTTTTTTATCATGTGGCTGAGACTTTGGAATAACGTGTGGTGTCTGTGCATCAACACTACTCTTTCCTCTAGGTAGCACATTTGTCACATTTGTCACAAGACAAGCCCCTGTTCTTGTTTCCCATCATAGTCCTTCTCAGTCCTTACCTGTTCCTTCTTCCAGGGGTTTTTCATCTTGTTGTTTTATTTGACGTAGCTGGGCACATCACCAACAGTACCAGTGGCTACTCAATGTGTTTCAGTCCAATGGGAGCTCGATTGTATGAATTTGTTCCTCTCTGGTGATCTTTCACCACATATCCATGGATTCATCGGGTTTTATCAGAGGGACTTGTCCTACAATTTCTCTCCCCCCTCCTTTGTCTTATGTACCTGTTTTCTTCCCCATGCCTCAGGATCTGACCACCAGCTAGCATCTGTCAGAGGCAGTACAAGATCATCTGTGTCAACAAGCCATTGAACCTGTTCATCATCTTTCTCCAGGCTTTTATTTCAGGTTGTTTATTTGTCCCCAAGAAAACTGGAGACTGGCAGCCTGTAATAGATTTGTCCCACCTCAATTGATTTTTCCATCTGCCCCCCTTTTACCATGGAGTCGTTTTTCACCCTTAGGTGGGCTTTTTCTCCAGGTTTATGGATGACCACAATGGACGTCGTGAATGTTTATTTGCATATCCTGATATCTTGTCAGTTGTGATCACAGGGTGGTTTATCAGTTTCGTGCACTGTCCTTTGGACTTGCTTTGGCCCCGTATGTTTTTTTATCAGGTGGTCAGAGCATTTTCTCACTACTGACATGATGTTGGGTTGTGCTTTCATCATTATGTGGACAATTGGCTACTGTTAGCTTGTTCTGAACAGGAGTTTGCCTGTCACACTCCTCAGCTGTTCCTGGAAGCGTCTCGAGTGGGCTGGTTAATTGAGTTGGAGTTCTGCGACTTAACCAATATCTTGTCCATTTGGGTGATTTTTCAACACCCGTCTCAGTCGGGCCCAGCCTTCTCCTCTTCAACTTCGTTTGATGGAGCTTTCTGTTCTCCATGCTCTTACTGCTCCCTCTATAACAGCTCGTAAGATTCTATTGCTTTTAGAGATGTGGTCTTCCATGGGAGCCCTTATTCTATTAGGTTGGGCTTATATGTAGGCTTTCACGACCAGTGGAATCTCACAAGGGATTGTTTGACAGCTCTTATTATCCTTTATCTTACCCTTGTTGACATTCTGCTTTGGTGGTTGGACAAGACTTGCACGTTGGCGGGTTTTCCGCTTCCTCCTCCTCATCCATTTAAACATTTTCACAGATACATCCCTTCAGGGATGGGGGGTGTGTGGGTCAATCATCAGGAAGCTTCAGGGTGTTGGCCTGCAGCCAAGAGGTCATATCAACATCCTGGAGCTTCTCCTTGTATGTCTTGATTTGGTTCATTTTCTCCATCTGGCCAGAAATCATCGGGTAATGATCCATTCCGAGAATTCTACAGTGGCTGCTTATCTTAATCACCAAAGCAACACCCATTATGGATCCCTCTGTATTTATACATTGGATCTTCTTATTTTGGTTCCTCATCCTCTTGCTCTGAATGTCGAAGCTTTCAGCCAGGACTGGACCAACAAATACCTATATGTCTATCCTCTCTTTTGACTTCTTCATCGGGTGATTTCAATCTTCCATGCCACTCTATGTCAAGTCCTTCTGATTGCTCCTTACTGGCTGGCTCAGCCATGATTTCTGCAGCTTCTCTAGCTCCAATTTACCCCTCTTTTATCTCTTCCTCTGACTCCATCCCTTCTTCGTCAACCTCAGTCACTGGTGTTTCATTCAGCCCTTCCTGTCCTGTGGCTTGTCCCAACGAGTAGCTTCTTTTTTGGCTCGTTCTATTTGCCCTTCCTCCATGGAAATTTATCAACGTAAATGGAAGTTTTCTGCCATTGGTCTCTCTCTCTGATTATTGGGTGGCCTTGTCCCACACCTTTCATTTTTCATGATACCATAGGGTGTTTACCTCTCCTACTCCTTTTCTGTTGATGCGTTCCTTCTGGATTCGTCATTTGCCGCAGTGGGCTGCCCTTCCAGATTGGGATGTTAATGTGGTTCTTTACTGCCTCACATTGAAGATCTGATTTATTTGCCATCAATGTTTCACATACTCTTCATCATTCTACTTATCTTCTCCTTTATCTGGATCATTCTTTCCTCCCCAAAATTTTTGGCGGCTTGTATATTTCCCATTCTTCCATTTTCCACCTTTATTCTTATTCTGATCTGGATAGACTTCTATGTCCTGTATGTGCTTTTCACTGTTATATTGCCTGCATGGCTTCCTTCCATGGTACCTGTTCCCACTTCTTTATTCCTTGGCAGCCATCCTCTGTTTGTTATCTATCTCATTCCACCCTCACCATTTGGGTTCAGATTTTAAATCATTGGCTTATTCCGCTTTATCATTTTCTTCCTGTTCTTTGTTCTGGGTGTCTTTTCATCAAATTTTGACACCTTACCTTTTCATTGGAGTCTCATCTTCATCGTCCCTTGGAGGAAATTGTTCAATCGGGCATGTGGACTACTTCTAATACATTCACCTCTCACTATTTGCATAGGGTCACTGTTTCTTCCTTTTCAGGCTATTGTCTTCCACCTCTAGCCATTCTTCAGACTTCAGTGAGACTTTAACTTTTACTCCTTGTTTGGATCCCGCTCTGTGATGATTGGTGCCTGACCAGGTATTCTTTAACTGATAAAATCTGCACTGTAAGGCCATGTTGACTTATGTATTATATTTCCATGGCTACGCAATGTACACAGCAGAGATGGGGCGTTCTACAAGATCACTTGTAGGTTTATCCTCACGATGGAATTGCTTCAAAGATTTGCCCATCCCAGACCATACTCACCCATGGACTACATGGGTAAAGTAGTAGAGATAGCTGACCATCCCTGCCTTGTATTGAATAAATTGGTATTGTCTGCTTTTAAAAATTGAACTGTCTCAGGCATTGTCATTCCTCCAGACTCTCCATGCATCCCCCCCCCTTTTCTTCTAATGCAGTTTCAGAGTCTTTACCACTTTTCAGTTCCACTTGGACAATGGAGACATCATCCTGAATGGGTTAGTGAAATACAAAATTCTAACAAAATATAGAAATGATTATAAAACCATTCAGTTGATAGTAGGGTGGTGGTGGTGTTTTCAGATGTACTTGTGTAATGCACAGTGAGATGTTTATGAAAGCTGTTTTCTTCCAAAATATAATAATCCAGTATAATTGAATAGAGAGAGTCACATGCATCATGAGAATATATCACACTCTTATTGGTGGAGGATTGTCACATGATGATTTGCATGAGAGACGCATTGGAATCAGTCAGTTCCAATTGAGGGGAGATAAATAGCTTGTGGCATACGTAAAAATAGTTTTTTGCATATAGAGGGCAACAATGAACGAGAATATGTTTTTGTGATTGGAGGTAAGTACCTATCGGAAATACATTTTCAGTATAGGAAAATTATAACTTTTGTTCCCACAGAATTATATGTGATTATAATGGTACTTTGAATTCCTTGAAGCTATATTTACATTCACATATTTATTATCATAGTTTTGAATAATGTTCTAATGTTATGATTCTATTTTAGACCTCCTATTAGTGATTCAGCCTTGGGCAATGTTGCTGAGAGTTTTTTGATGTGGCAAGTGCCATTCAGTAATATTCAGGGTCAAGGAATGATGCCACAGGCTCAACTGGGAAAATCCTATGCTCCTCCACCTACATATTTTCAGTACCAGCAGAGATATCCTCCTAATGCTTTAGGAAATATTTCACAAGTAAGTTCAGTAGAAAGAAAAAAAGTAATTTAAAACTAGTAACAAGAAATAATATAAGATACTATAAACTTTTAAACAAAGGTACAGTATATACAAAAAGCACTGCCTCACTTGATATGGGATGCTCATGAGGCTATTCATAGGTGAGACAAGAATGCATTGATATTATGGACTCTTTTTTTTTTATTCACAAATGTGCTAATTACTGTTGTGAGTTGTGACCACATCTAGTAGTAGCGGAATATCACAAGTGTATGCAGATGTGAGAAGAATGGGTAATAAGTAGCTTTTTTTTTATGTTCAGGTGATAATTGTCATTCACAATGAGCAAATCTCCATTGCTGATTGAGAATGTGTTGTCATAGTTGCTTGACAGTGTACTGGTCAAAATTATGTTTTGTATTTCTTAAGTTAGTGGATATGTATCACAGTTTTCTGGCTAGTATTACTTACATAACTAGCAGATGTACTTGTGTAATGCACAATGAGATGTTCATGAAAGCTGTTTATGTCAATGGCAATATAAAGATTAAAAGTATGAAAGAATAAAATCATTGATGTCCACTGGGAATGATTATTTTAATAACATTTTACTTTCTATTTTAGTTTTTTATGAAAAAGAAATAAGTAACATGTGACTTAAAAACACCTCTCCTAATAATAACGGACAGTTACCACCCAACAGTCTTCTTTGCACGATGGATGTTTCTTCCTTTTACATTAATATTCCACATGATGAAAGACTACAAACTCTAAAGTCTGCACTAAATCTTTCTAAATAATCAGAATCTCAAACAGTAACTGATCTTGCCAGCCTGGTTTTAACTCTGAACAGCTTTGAATTCAATAACAAGCATTATATTCAGGTTAACGGTACTGCAATGGGTACAAAATGGCTCCCAATTATGCCAACATTTTTATGGGTCATATTGAAAACAAACTTTTACAACTAAGCCCTGTAAAACCTCATACATGGAAACATTACATAGACGACATATTTTTCATTTGTACAGCCAGTCTTAAATCACTTAAATAATTTATCTCACATGCAAACTCCTTTCACAAAACAATCAAGTTTACCTGTGATTACTCACCTATCCAGATTAACTTTCTTGACGTCATTGGTTTTCTAAAAGACGGAATTTTATACACTGACTTGTACAAAAAACCTACAGACAGACCACATTGTCTTCATTATAAAAGGTGTCACCCCTCTTACACTAAACGAAACGTTACCTACAGCCAAGTTCTTAGAATAAAGAAAATATGCTCAAATGAAACAGACTACAGAAAACACACCAAGGATCTAAAACAAACCATGTTACAAAGAGGATATAAAGATACCAAAATTGACAAACAAATTGAAAAAGCTAACAACACTCAGTGGAAAAACATCCTAAACCAGAGCAATACTAAATGTTCAAATAGAATTCCTATTATTATTACCTATCAGTTTAAATTCAGAAACATTTCACAAATTCTAAAAAAAATGCTCATCTCCTACAACTGAACGATCGTCTTAAACAGATATTACCTGAAGTTCCCGTTGTTTCCTTCCAAAAAACCAGAACTCTAAAAGATATCCTTGTTCACACAAAAGTGAATTGCATCCCACCCAAAAATGTTTGTCCATGTAATAAAGCCCATTGTCAAACCTGCAAGGTCATAAAAAAAACACTGACTCATTTTCTGGGGAAGTACATTGAAATTAGCTTTCTTATTGGATCTTGTACCTTTCATTATTAAGGATAAATTATTCTTTACTCTAAATAACTTGCATAATTAAGTATGTGTTGAGATCAAAGTACTTGTAAGGTGTTTATTACAGTCTTGTCCATGAACTATATGTAGTTAATCTTGATGTCTACTTATCATATTGATAAGATCATATGCCTTACTTTGTTATTGTAGACATCAGTGGCTTGCTCGGGATTTTTATTTTGCAATTTAATTGACTTTTTTATTGTTTAAACTTTATATGCTTTATTCACTAACAACTCTCTCTTGTATGCTTTCATCATGAGAACCTTATGTTGACCTAATTTCTATTTATACCACTTGTTGGCTCCAGCTTAAAATTGTTTCACTTGTATGACATTTAATTTTATTAATTAATAAATTATTTTTTAGTTGTAAAACTAATCATTGATAAGCTTCATTTATTCTGTTTTCTGTACTTTTTTAAAGTGACTTATAATAAACTGTGAATAGTTGTTGAATAGCAATTTCCCTATTGATTTCTTTGTTTTGAAAAAATATGTATGAGCCAACAATAAACAAATAACGTAAATTAGTTTTTCAAATTAATCAATAGTGATTCTGATTGTTTATGTTTGGTAGGGTGTTTCTCATCCTATACCAAACCCTGCATATGTAATTAGGTGTAATGAGAGGATGGTGAGTCATTACCAACAAGTTCCATCAGTCACAACAGGAGTTTTCAGGCCAAGGCACACAGGGTAAGTTCATAAGTCATTGGACCTTACTTAGTTACATAACTTTCTGTATGACACTCATCTGTGGTAAGGATAAAAAAACAACTTTTAAAGAATTTGTAGAAGAAAAACAAGAAGCACATACCAGAGTCAGAAATTATAATAGAAAAAGCTTGATAGCATGAAGAAAAATTGCATACATAAAATAATCCCAATAATATTGGTCTGTGTTGGAGGAATAAAAAAGCTGATAAATTTATGCACAATATATAAAAAAACTGTTGAAAAATTAAAATACAAAACATCAAAAATAAGAAAATGACAAATATGGTTAAAAGAAAATGTATTAACTTTCAGAAAGACCTGTTTTATTTTTCTGTGGGGAATAAATCAGCAGTAAATTTGATGGCTAATAATGTTAAAATTGGAGGTTTGATTCATGCAGTGGGCAAAGCTTAGATAACTCATTGTGCATCCTTGTGCTTAAACAAAAACAATCTGTATCAGAAGAACAGAAGAAAGAAAAACTAAGATTCTCTGAATAGTATTTTTGTGTATTGTTTGTATATAATGTCAGTGCCATTTCTGCTATATTTACAATTCATTTGTCAACACATTTTTTTTTCTATCTATTTTGGATTTATCAGTATTATGAAAGAGTTTCTTATAAATTCTTACTGGTCTTCCTTTCAAAATGTCATTGGAGTAATTTATTTCTCAAAGATTGAGTCTTTTCTTCATCCAGTGGGTTTTTTATTGTAAGGCTTTCATTATCTGTTTTTACAAGAAGACTAAATTAACATGTTAGTACTAAGTAATAACCGATGTAACATTTAATAGGTAGAAGGGATATGGATTTTAATCATGTTCAAATTCAGTTTCCATGACAGTACTTCACCTCCACACACAGAATAGCCTGATGCCTCGCACATCTACATATGAGATTTACATGCCACTAGTCTTGAGCTAACCCCCCCCATCTAAAAATCGTGTGTTTCAGTTGAACTGCACTAGTGCATGATGACATCATTATGCAACAAAAGCCCTCCACCAATAGGAGGATAACAAAACCTTCTTGTGCAGTAACTCCCCTAAGCACTTGCACTAAAAATAACTTCTTTTCTTTTCCTCAGTATAATCTAGAATGGATATTTACTAAAAATTATTAATCAGTTACATGAGATCTGCAATAGGTTACGAAACTTCATTTAAGTCTTACTGGTTTCTTTTATTGTTAAGAAAAGGAAGAAGAAAAAATGTTTTCCTGATTATCTATTTTGAATTCTTAAGTAATGTTAACTTCTGCTTCGTCCTGTGATAGTGACAATGTTCCTACCTTGGGACCTGTGTCTGTTGTGGTTATTGGGGGCTTGGTATCTGTGGAGGATAAGACAGCTGTTGTTCAGTGTGTGGTGGATCCCTTCATGCACACTGGGCCTCCTCTTCCCATCCTTTCAGCCGACATTCCTTCTCCCCCATTTGAACATGATTAGTATGATGATGATGTTTTGACTGGCTATTCCCGGGGTTTGCTTTAGGCAAAACTTTACCTGTGGAGGAAAATACTCTCTATCCTAATCTCTTCATTCACATGATTTCGTTGGTATGTTCTTTATTCTTCCCCTTTGTCTTTTGATCCCCTCCCCCCATGATTTACTGCATAAAACCCAAACTCAGGACTATTTTCACTTTCATCTGACATTGAGGTTCATGCAGACTTGTTTCTTGCCCAACTGCACACCCATACAATCATGCCACATACTCCTTGTCTACTTGACTCTTTTGTCCTGGCTTATAGCTGTTTTTCATTTCCATTCTTAGATTTTTAGTTTTTGGAATATCTTTTACCCACCTGGGGGAATGATCCCTTAACTTTTACTTCTTTTTCTTGTGCCCAATTTTTGCACCTTTGCCTTTTTCCTACCACCCTTCTGTGTTACCTCTAATCATTTCTCCTTATGTCTGAAGCATTTCATCATTCTCTATGGGAAGGTTTTCTGGAAAGGTTTGTTCTCTTCTTTTCACCACATTGGCCCATATTGCTTCTTTTGCTCTATCCCTCCTAACATGTTTCTCTGTTGTTGGGGCTTGTTGGGATGGGATGCTCTCCTAGCTATTGTATGCCTCTATCCCGCTTTTCTTTGTTTTCTTTATCAGGCTACATATCTTCTCTCAGAAGTCTTCAGGAAAGTTCCTGACTCATTGGAGACCCAGACTGAGGTGGCCTGCTATCAGTCCTCATTGACTACTATGCTTTCTTGGCTTTCTCAACCTCATCATTCTGTTTCTAGGTCTGCTGAATCCATATCTCCCCTGTCCATCCCAGTTTCCTGGCCGCCTTCTACTTCCTGCTCTCTAATTTTCAGATTTAAAGGACATCACTCGTCTCACCATTGACTACCCTGTTAGGTATGGCCCTTGAGAAGCTTGTCTGTCTCTTTTTGTCAGACTTGGATCTCCATTTGTCTGATAGATGAGTTATTCAGATTCTCATCCACAGCTTTTCTCTCCACTTTTCTTCACCTCCCTTTTTCCATTCCCTTTTTTCCCCTTTATATTTAGTGTCTTAAGGATGTGGTCTCAGATCTCTTGGCCGAGAACACCATTGAGAGCATGTTTACCCCTACATCTGGTTATTCCTCTCATCTTTTTGTGATCCTCAAAACGACTGGGAACTGGAATCCAACTATCAGCCTATTTTATCAACCAGTTTGTTACCATTCCTTAGTTCCATATGGAAAGTGGTCTTTTCTCTCTGGTGAATTTTCATCCAGGCTGTAAATGACCAAGGTTGATGTTTTGGACATCTTTTTACACATTCTGATCACCCTTCCTCCAGAAGTTTCTTTGTTTCATCCATCAGGATAGAGTCTTCCGGTACTGTGCTCTTCCTTTTGGCATTGCATCTTCTCCTTACCTCCTTAATTGAGTCAAGCAGGCATTTGCCTGCCATGTTCACAGAGTGTGCTGAGGTTCTATTATTACATGGATGATTGGTTTCTCCTCACCCCCTCTCAATAGCACTCCTTCTCTCACACATCTTTTTCTGTATGCCTATCTTCCTATTCCTCTTCTCCTTTATGTACTTGTTTTGATACATGACACTTCTTGTCGAGTCCCATTGGTGCCTCTTTCCCCTGTTTTGTCACTTGGAATACATTTCCCCCTCTTCCTTTGCCCAATTCCCATTCTCTCTTGCTCCAATCATGTCTTTTTTCACCCAGGAGTGTTGGCCCTTCATCTTCATATGTAGGATTTATCCTGTCCATTGCCTGTGTAGCTTTTTCTGACTGTGTATTCTTTTTCTTGTCCAATTTCTATCATTCTTCAACTTTGCCCATTTGTCAACAGAAGTGGTGGGTTTTTTTTACCTTGGTCTGCCAGCCTCTGCATTCCTTCAGGCCATCTTACTGTGGCCCAACCTTTGGTCCTTTTTCACATGGGTTGGGCTACGGATTGTCAGTTTCTATTATTGCTGGTTTTTGGTTAGCTTTATCAACTTTGTTTTGCCTTTCCCATTATTTCTAGGTTTTTCTTCTTCTGTCCTTTCCTTTTTGTTCTGATCCTTCCTTTTTTGTCAAACCTTTTTGCCCTACTCACATGCCTGACTGGTTCTTTGAAGTAGTTTTACATGCTCCTTTCGAGCTGTTGGCTTCATGTTCTTTATACCTTTCTCTGAAGACATGTTTCTTCTTTTTTTCTGTGGTCACTGTCATTTAGATGTATATGCCATTGATGCTTCCTGCACTGTCTTTCACTGTACTTACTTACTCCTATATCCAGACTGGGCCTTTCTTCCTAAAAAACTTTGGGGGCTTGGGAAGGTGATTGTTCTTTCACATTTCATTGCATCAGATTCATCAACTGTCTCACTCTCTCATGTCTTAGTTTCATTGATCCTTGGTGAAATCCTTCTGCTGGCATGTGGATAAATCCACACATGTTCATCTCACATTATCACCATCATCCGACTGTTTTGTCTCCTGCAGGATTTTGACTCCCCCCAGCTACTGTTCTTCAATAAACTACATACCATCTTTGAGAAAAGTAAGTACATTTTCATTTTCTTCACTCTTTTCCCTTTTATAGGATCCTGTCAGGTGGCTGGTATTGCCTCCCAGGGTATGCTTATTTTTCAAAATCTGCATCAGGCCAGGGATAGTGGTAGGCATAGACTCTGCCACTGCCCATTGTTGAGATGGAGTATTCCACAAGAGCACTAGAGGTATTCTTGTGGTATTAAGATTACTCATTTGCCTGATCCCTATCTTACCATGGACTATCATGGAAAAAGCCAGCACCAATGATTACTGGCTTTAAAATAGGGTTTTGCAGTCACCTACTGCATTGTCTCCACTAAAAGACCTTTTTTGGCAGATGTTTGATAGGAATCGAGGCACCTTGGGTCTCCCCCAACATTAATTCTTCCTTTCTTCTTCAAGTGGAGTACAGGAGACCCTTGTCACTTACCAGTTCCTAGCTGCTGGGGTAGTAGACCTTGGAGAGTTCTTCACTGATTGTGTACAGCACAATATGGTGGAAAGTAGGATGGCAGTGGCACTTTCTTTGTATTGTGAGGCACCCCTGAAACAGCAAATGTGCCCTCCTTCTGCAATGGGAAGGGTTTGCCACCCCTGTCTCTATCTGTCCAGTTGAGTTGAGATGAGACACACCATACATTCTGATTCTACCCTAACCACACTACACTTTTTGGCTCGCTAACCACTTTATTGTTGGGTCATTTATGATAAAATTCTGTCCAACCCCTGCAATACTTGGGACTCTTTTACCTTTCCCTCTGTTTTCTTGTGAGTGAAGAGTATATCCTGCTCAAGATGCACTGCAGTCTCCCATGGGTGTACCCCTATGGAGCCCCTGCCATCAATTGTCACATTCCAGGGGCTTTTTCTTTAGGCTCTTTTTGAAGGAGCTTATCTAGGTTTAATGTGCGATTCTAGCTATTTTGTGTGTGTGGAGGTGAGGTATTGTCTCAGAAGTTAACATTTTCCTTAGCTGAAAACGTATTTCCAATAGATACTCACCTTTTTCACATCTTCCCACTCATTCTCTCCATTTTTGGTGCACTTTTTTTTTCTGTTTCATCTAAGAATCAAGTTATTTGGAATGCAAATATGTAGGGGGAATTACTGCACAAGTGACATTGTGTTACCCTTCTATTGGTGAAGGGGATATCGTTGCATGATGGTGTCACATGCAGTAGCACAATTTATGTTAATCCATGATTTTTAAGTAGGAGTTAGCTCAAAGCTAGTGGAATGCAAACCTCATAGGTAGATGCGAGAGTAACCAAGCCATTCTGTGTGTGGAGGTATCTACTGGAAATACATTTTCAGGTAAGGAAAATGCTAACTTTCATTTTAGAAGAGGGATTAGTTGTCTGTTATTTTGAAGGTTCAAGTTCTTAATGTATTTTGTATTTTTCACAAGGTATCAACCACCAGACCCTGCAAAACTTTCAGAACAAAAAAGCAAACTAGAAAAAGAACGGAATTTCCAAATGCAGCAACAGAAGTTAAAACAATTTAGTCAATGTGGCTTAAAGCCCTCACTAAACCCAGATTCTTACATAAACATTATGCTTGGAAAGGATCAAAACCAACACAAACCATCTTCATTGAACCCAAGTACCAGTAAGGCAACAGGTAGAAAAATATATATTTTGAATGGAGATATATATTGCTTTTAATTTATTATCATTAAATTTCTCAAGTAAGCTTTGAATGTTTCAGAATACTCTTATTCTGTCTTCATCAAAATCTGAAAATACTGTTACAAAGATATTTCTTAACTGATGCTATAGTATCATTAATTGCTAATTTACTTAGATATTGAGTACAGTGGTAGATGGAAGGAAAAAATCATTATGGACTATATTATGAATATTTCCTGAATTACAAGTTGCATGACACAGTTATAAATATTCTTAACAAACAGTTGAGTTGTTTTAAATATGTAAATTTAGAATAATTTTAGGTCTAAATAGTTTTGTAAGTCATTAAGAATAGGGCAGTCTTTAGTTATGAGTAAAATTAGTTTAGTGTAGAGTTCAAGGTCTGAAGATCCTGTAGTAATGATAAAGAAATCATTATATGAAATATTGTGACCTGTGGTTTCAACATGTGAATGAATGGATGAGTGGCTGGGTTTAAGTAATGGATGGCTGGTTCTGTTTGATACCTCCAAATGACTAGTTTTCAAGTGGCATTTGGTTTTGGTACTACATATATACTTATACATGAACCATGAATGTAGAAGTTTAGATATTTGATCTTCTACACAAACACCTGTTAAATAGCTATCTGACTAATTTTCTGACAAATATTACTTGCAAGTTTTTAAACAAATTCCAACCACTTGCTATTATGCACTCACTCCTCAAATTTCCCTTCATTATCCTTCCTCATTTTATGGGCTCACAATCCTTACAAATTAAAAAACATCTTTTCTCTTTAACCCTTTTGAGGCAGACTCAAGCAGTTTGTGAAAATTGAGTCGTGAATTTCACTTGTACAACAATATTTGAAGTAGCTCTGAAATTTCTTAACATATCCTCTCAAAAACTGGTAAGATTTAGTTAAAGATCATAAGTATCTTGTACACAAATAATGATGATTTTATAATTAAGTATTTTTACTAAAATGTTTTTACTTATTTATTGTAGTTACTTGCACTCAAACTCTTAACAAATTGAGTGGAAGGTGATTTTTATTTTAAGTATAAAAATACTTTTCTTCATTTTATAGTTTCATATTTCATTTGCATAATTTCTAGAACCTCCTAAAAGAAAATCAAAAGTTTTTTAAGGTAAATGCTTATATTTTATTTTTATTTTCTTTACCATATCACTAACTCTAGCTATTATCATTAATGTACAATGCAATGAAATGATTAAAATTAGGAAATAAAAAAGAATACATAACATTTGATATTTTTTGTAGAATATACATAATTTCGGGTCTTTTCCTTTTCACATATAGTTAATTTTTAATGTTTTATTTTCTGTTCTTGTCCTTTACCACTTATTCATCTTGACACAAGTCAATGGTGCCCTTGAGGCATATTAAAGTTTATTTGGGAGGTGTGCAATTCTTTGGCAAAATTTTTGTTCAGTGTGTAATATCGCAAGCCTTGAGAACAGATGCAAATATGATGTATATTTAAAAAATGTTTAAACCTTTTAATTATGCATTTTAAAACATAACTAATACATAATTAACTAAAATATAATAGTAAGACCTAAATACAATTTAAACTGTATCTCTAATTATAACATATTTAGGTAAGAAACAACTGTAAGTGCTATAGTCGATCAAACAGCCAACATTACTATACTCAATTATATGTACTCTGTGATGACAACTAGGCACCAATTTCAAAATAACCATTGTTAGATTATACTTAAAGTGAACTCTTTCTAATGGTTAGACACATGTATGTAACATCTACATGGAAATTATAAAGTTCAAACAAGTCTGTTGATGGTAGGCATGGAAGCTGTCAGAGGTTGAAAATATTTATTACTCATTCTAACCTCATTAATTCGGAGAACTTGGAAATGACAGAGTCAAAAGGTTATATAAGCATCTCATTGTCTAGACGTACTGCTACAGTACTGCCACTGTATTATTGAAGAGACAGTGTCAAGGTAGAGAATTTTCATATCCTGTTGGTCACATGACAAGTTATAAGTAGTTTTTTAAAGGTTTAATTTGAAATAAAGGGCTTAAAATTTGGATAAGATAAAACTTTGAATCATAGCACACATTATAATGTTAAATTCATTCATGTACATTAATATTAAAGGTGTTTAATTAAATCTTGAATAGAACACAGTGACTTGTGCGGAAAAGCATTTAACCCTTTCGAGACAGGTCACGAGTGAAAGGCCATGTCATCTCGTTTGTTGACTCGCATTCAAAATTTTAGTGAACAACTATTTCTTGAATTTATGTCAATAAGATTGGTATCAAACTGTAGATTATAATTCAAAATTTTTGTATTATATATTATTCAATTTCTTAATTTAAAAGCAAATCTTAAAAAATACAGATAAACATCGATTTTTGTGTGGTGTGTTGAATGCAGCACTGGTTCAAATTAAGCCTATAGTTTCGTATGAATTAGAAACTCAAATATGAGCCTCTTATCTTTTCAATTTGGTAAGATATTGCTCGTGTAATAAATCAAACACAGTGGCACCCTGCCCACCTCTTTCCATTTTTGGAAATGCTCCTATATATACACTTACTTCTATATATGACATGAATAACCAATCGGGAGCTCAGAAGGTTATTCTAGTGGCTTTCACAGCCATTTTAATGGGCTTGGTGCCATTTATTTCTTTTGAACCAATATTTCAATGAGGTAGGGTGTGTCTTTAGTCTGCTCAAAATTGCATATTCTTTTAGACCAAAATACATCTTTGTTACTAAGCTTGATAAATTATAATTGAATTCTATGGTATTAATGTAGTAATTTATGATTTTTTTAGTTATTCAAATGTATGTATAAAACCTAAAAAAAAATTTAGTTTCATATCATCTGAGTGCAAATTTTTTAAAGGCTTAACAGCCTACGTCAAGCAGCAACC